GGTAACAGGACTCTCCTCTGTGAAAGCACAGTAACTTTCACATTGTTGCCTAATCCAGGATCGCAGAGCCTTGTGGGAAATGTAGTCTCTGCTCTGATGACGTCATCAGCACAGGCCACGGAGGGCGGCTTTTTCAGATTCTCTCCGCCTGTGGCGCTCAGTTCCTTCTTCGTGGTCGCTGGGGAGAACCTGCCGCTGTGCTGACTGTGCTCTTCCGGACACAATGTCCATGACGGTGAGTCTGAGTGTGAAGGAGGAAGGTTGCGGGTTTTGAGTTCGTTGGCGGGAGCAGAAACGTGGGGGGAGGCGGGGTGGAGGAGGAGGAGCGCTGGAAGGTGCAGCCCCTGGTCCGGGCTGGGCGGGGAGAGCGACAGGAGCGTCCGGGTGTGCAGGTCCGGGGTGAGGAAAGAGGCGACCTGGGCTTTGCTTTCAGTAGCTGCTTTGTCAGAAGGTGGGTGTGTGTGTGCATTCAGGTGTACAAAGGTGACTCCAGAAGCTCCGGAATGGGGTGACCCAGTCCAAGCTGGGTGAGTGTGGGGGTGTTGGTCGGTTTGTTATATTTTGATCAGTGAGAAAGGAGAGGACACCCAGTCATAGCCAAGTTACAGGAGTCTTTATTACCAGCGACTGGGGAGCTCTCATGTCTCTCAAAGACCCCGCAGCCCCGAGTGTAGGAAGAAGGGTGCTGGTTAAAACAAAAAGCACATTTAAGTTGATGTGGTGGGAAAGGTAATCATTGAGGGGGCAGCGAGTAAGAAAGGGAGAGGGGAATCCAATGGAAAGCAGTCACAGAAGCCTGATCAAGCAGGTTAATTATTACTAAGGGCACTTTCCAGTTCCTTGCCTAAACACATTGGGATCTTAATGGTCTTCATGGCTTGGGGCAAGGAGCTTATCACTAAGGAAGTTCTCAAGGTTGGGGGTTTCAGGTTATTTAGTAAAGACTGCAGAAATGTTAATCACTCTTGTTTACACAAAAAAGTTCTAAGCAAGTTTCCAATATAGAATTCGCAATGGAGGTTCTCCTGCTTCAGGTTGAGGAGCCAGGGGGTCAGAGAACCAGGAGTTCAGCTTCCAGCTCTGCTACGGGATCCTGATGAGAGAGGAGTAAGCTCTCTGGTTAGGTAGATAGGGTGAGGAGTCCACAGAATGGAGGGTAGGAGACAAATAGAGTCAGTACAGTGAAGCCTTTAATAAAAAATACATTCACAACTCTCAGCAGAAATCAGTTATTAGCTCTTGCTTCTTGCTTGGCCAGAAAGCTGCTTGCAGCCTGCTTAAGATAATGACAGCTGAAAGTAGCATTATCCGTATCACTGCTACATTCCAACTGAAAAGTGCAGTGTCTCTTGGTCTGGAGAGCAGTAGAGGAAAGGACCATAAACAATAAACTCTTTCATATTTCAAAAAATTTATGAGCCCTTGCTGACTGGCTAGAAGTAGACAAACTGACCATAGTCCTGAGCACAGAGTCTAACACAAGGACAATGATTAGATTAAGACTCCTGGTGGCACAAAACTCTTGTGCTGGCATCACTTTTTAAAAAGTATTTTTTTCTCCATGTCTATTCTTCACATTTTTAAAAAAATTTTCTTGTCAGGGTCCATTCTGACACCCTGAGTATACCCATTTGCTTAGCTGGAAGCTTTGACTCTTTTCTAGTAAACTTTAATTATTATCCTCTCCTTTTGTCCACATTTATCATTCTTTGTGACCATCAGATAAGAACCTGCGCCCAGGTGTTAGATCTGAACACCTAGCACTTCATAGCATGGATGCTACTCTGTATCTCATTAATTATACCCATCTGTAATACTAGCCTGTTCTAGTGAAATACTACCCTCCCCCCATTTCCCAGTGAAATAACTGTGGAGTCTCTGTAGACAGAGTGTTCCTATGGCAACTGTATTTGTGGGGTGTCTTGGTGTCTTAAAGTGAATGAAACCTCTGGTTGCCTCCAGCATTTCTTTGGCCTGCCTAGCACTCCTGGGTAAGTTACATTTTTCTTTTAAGATTTTTGCTATGGGGCACAAGTACTTGCCTGAGAGATACAGAGATGGGCAGAGTAGGTTGGGAGAAAGGAGAAATCACCCCCCACGGGGGTGGGCATGCCAAAATCCCTTCTTCTCCATTTTCCTCTTGGGATTTTGGGCACATGTGAACATAGTCTGGATGTAATTTTCAAGCCACTGAATCTGGGAATCAAACTACAAAGTTGCATGTGGATCTAGCAGCCTTTCCTCAATGCCACTGGCTGGCTCACTCCTGGGTAACTTTAAAAACTTTTAGGGGCCATCAGGTGGTGTAGTGGTTAAGGTTTTGAACTCCCACTTGGCTGAAGAAAGCAGCAGCCTTTCCTTCAGTCCAAGATCTGGCAGTTTGAAAATCACACTAGGTGCATGTGCCTTTGTGTCCAAAATTCCAGGAGGGGAATGGAAGAGAAAGGATTGTGGTGTGGCCCTCATCCTTGCTGGGTGTTTTCTCATCCCCCTCCCTCCTTTCTGCCACTCTCTAGCAAGCGCAGTGTCCCTATGGCAAAAACATAACGGGGAACTAAAGAATCTTATATGAGTTCAAATTCAGAATCCAGGGACAGTAATTTCTGTTAGGTAGTTTGAAGTACTGATGAATGGTAGCATTTCATTTGGAATAAAGTAAGTATTGGGAAGTTATAAAATTATACTATACAGATAGGAATCTCACCTGAAAGAGTATCCCTGTGGCCTGAATACTGTATTAGAACATCAGAGCAGTGGCAGGAGAGCCTGGGAAAGGAAAAAAAAAATTGAGTTTACTTAAAGTAATTATTGATCTTTCTTCCTAGAGTGGACAAAATTTGGATAATTCTACCTTCTCCTGAAGTACTGGATGCTGCTCAGAGGTTTGGACCAACCTTTAGAAAGGATAGGGAGTTTGATTCGGATAGGCAAAGCCCTAACAGTGTTACTTACTCCAAGCTTAGAGTGTGGCCTGGTGTGAAGTTATAACCTGTCTTCCTGAGTCTCTGTCTATAGTGCTCTCTAAATAGAATCCATTCTTTCAATTTGTTGTCATTGTTTCCTGTTTCTGAATTCACTTAAACTTGATCTGTCACCAAATTTGACAACTAGAAAAAAGCGGATGCACACTCTATCTTGATAGGTTTTCCTAGTAGTTCAGGAAGGGTTTGCCATGGTATTTCTGCCTTATAAGAAAAATGAGAAGAAACTAGATTTGAGATGTGTCTTTCTCAGAGTCTGGTTATTGTAGATGCTAGACATTCTGACCTTTCAATTTTTTGTGTGTGTGACATTGAGGTTAACACAAACATGGCTTGCAATATCTGTTCTATCTCTCAACAAATTTTGTGACTTATGTGGTTTCAAAGAGTTTTCCACTTAATAACAGCAATGTCTTATTAAGATGATAAATTCTGCAGAAAATTTATAAGAGCTTTTATTTCTTCTGTTTTTTTGAAGGTATTTTTGCTGTAGGACACACACACTCACCAGAAAGAATTCCCTCCATCCCCCCAACCTTGGGGGATGGCCAATTCTGAAATCCTTTTTCCTCCTCTCTCCTGTGATTTTGGGTGTACACACACATTCACTCACTAACTCATGTGCCTGGCATGGTTTTCATGTCACTGGATCTGGGACTTGAACCACATACGCAGCCATGTGTGGGATCTACTACCTTAACCACAGTGCTTCCCAGTGACCCATAAGAGCCCATTTTACATTATATAAAATAGGAAAATTAGACTACTTGACACTTTTAGTTTAAACTAATTTTTAAAATGTAAATAAAATGTAATGCAGTACTCTTGTATGAGTAACAAATCCTTATGTTTTGTTTATGAATTAAAATTTGTGTGTGTGTGTGTGTGTGTGTGTGTGTGTGTATGTAGGAGTTTTTCCCTTAGTACACATATGCATGTCAGAGAGAGACTGAGACAGTGAGAGGGAAAGTAAGAAATCTCTCCTTAGGGGAGATGGTCACACCACAGTCCTTTCTCCTCTTTTCTCCTTCTGAGATCTTGGGCATGTATGCACATATAAACACTGTGAGTTTTAAGACACTGTGCCTGATACTTGGACTGTGGTCAGTCCAATGACATAACTGCTAGGCCATCTGCTGCCTTTTTCTTTTTAAGTACAAAGACTTACAGGATGTAAAAATCTTAAAAGTTCATCTACTAATGTACACAAAATTGCTCTGTAGGTTTTTCAAAAGTC